GGAAGGAAGGGGCCGCACTAGTTTGAGAGAATGATTAGATATCACCGCAGCCTCACGGGGGTAATCAGCCTGAGGCATCAATTAATAAACCGATTCAGCCGCAAAGCGTTGCGACTCGCCACCGTTGGGTCTTTGCCATTTGATTTGAGAGGGGGGATGTTTCATTTCAGCCTTCATATTTCAGCCTCCTCTTTGCAGACTAATTTAGCTCAAGGTTTCGTGTTGAGATTCCTAACCCACCGAAGAAGGGAATTCCGTGACCGGGTTGGGCGATCGGGAGATGGGAGGCACGCGGCTCCGCAGGTGACTTGAGATGGAGGCTTTTGAGGCTGCGAATGATGGCAGCCGCGCAGGTCCGATGGGATGATGGCATTTTACCCAAAACCAGTTAGTCTAGTAAGTAGTAGTACACAGCTAGTACTCCGTTAGTAGTCCCCAGTCGTCCCCAGTCACTTCCAGCCCGCCGCCTCCCTTGCGTAACTTCTTTCGCCTTCCAATCCCCTTCAATCATCAGGGTTCCTTTGATTATTACTACGCCTTGGCCACGGCTGCGTCTCCATCCGGCTGGGCAGTTGAGCCTCCAACTATTTTTTGTTTTCTATTTTGGTTTTTGTTTTTTGTTTTGTTTTTGTTACTGCCTGTCTGGCTTGGCCTCTCTTGAGAGTCTGGTCCGATTGCCAACTCCGAAGGGGGGCAAAAAGAGGTGTGCCGTTTCTACGGTCGGTCATTGCTAAAATTAGCGTGGGACCAGCTGGTAGAAGTAGTAATAGTAGGAAGTGAGTGGTAGTGGTGGTAGTGGTGGTAGCAGTAACAAATGCCACTGCCTAAACAGTGGCAGTCAAGTAAGTCAGTCAGTCGCACGGCTCACTCGAATGCAGCCTTGCCCAGGTTGTCCCCTGGTAGTCTAACGCGCCGAAGAAGAACTTTCATTCCCACTCTGAGGCTCTCCCTCCCCCATTTCCAAAACTAATCGTCTCATCACTCCCCGTTTTGGGTTTACCGCTTGACCGCCCCTCTCCTCGTCAAGCTAGCTGGAAGTGAGTCGCTGCTGATGCCTTGTCTCGCGGACTGTCGCACTGTGCCGCTTGGACTATCTCCTACGGAATAGCTAGGCTTATGAGTGATCCATTCCTTCTCCTGCCTCCCAGTATGCTCCCGCGTCCCTTAGGCCAATGATATTGCTTCTCGGACCCAATATCCCACTTTTCTTCCATTCTTTCGCCCCTCCGGCGTATCCCATGTAAAGCTTACTCTGGGACAACAGAGCCGCATCATGAAGGCTACTAGTTAAACCATGGCAGCTGTTCAACAGCTCCCCTATCCAGTCGCGTCCATGTGTCCAGTGCATTGCTGTTTGTTGTCTAAAGTGTTGTCCCACTAAACCTTATTTCTCTTTTTTGCTCAATGTGGATCGCTGTATTACCTACCAACACTCTCTGTATACTATCTCGCCGTCTCCGATCAACAGTGAATACAAGTACCAACATTCACGTTCGGGCACTAACATCTCACTGATCGACTGACGTTGTGTTTAACCATACGTGGGCTCATCTGCGCCATTATTCCTATCGATTCTCATATTCTCACCCATATTGGTGTCTCGTCGATGGTATAAGTGCGGTGTGGCAGTGCGCGCATCCTTTCCCTCTTCCTCCTCCTTCTCCTCCGCTCTCCATATATGGTGCGCAGCTCTGCCATTCGCCATGGTCACATCTGGAATGGTCAGAAATTTGGACTGCATCCCTTATGATGTATTCTACCAAGTGGCCTCTACCCTCGACTGTCACGACCTCATTCATCTTAGCCGCGTTAACCGAGCATTAAATCATTTGGTGCAAAATGAATCAATTGCGCGTAAAACGATTCAAGTAAGTGGCACCGCAGTGTTTGTGAATTGGGGTTTGTCCTGACTGTTCTAGAATGATTTACTACACACAAAGGAAGGACAAGAGGCAGACCAGGCCAAGACTGGATATCGCAGAGCTCTTGGGCGCCTATTCGACATCAAGGAATCAGTCGCAACGGCACAGCCGTACTCTGCTTCCATTTTGGCTTATGCGAGCTCCTTCATCTACAGTGAAGGCTGTCTCAGCTACATCTACAACGATGAAATCCGCGTCCTAGATGTGCACGGTGCCGGCCAAGTTGAGCAGGTGCTGAACATCCACAATGTTCTATCCCGGGCCATCCAAGGGTGCAACCCACAGACAGATACGTTCCAGGTCTGCCTCATGTACTACAGTAACTGGGTTCTGGCATTCACAGTGGAGTTTGTAGACAGGCCTGAAGCTTGGCTTCTGGTAGTGGACATGCGCCGCAAAGTGAACAACAAGAAATGTGGTCGGCTACGTCTCCTGACAAGGCTCCAACACACACGACGATTATTCGTTCGACACAATGGCTCTTATCTATACTATGGGACGCACACCGCAGTGGGTGATCGTGGCTATTCACAATGGGCGATTCATTGTGCGGATCTCAAGATAAGCCAGCACCTGACGGAAAAGCCAACCGTGCTGGAAAACTTCGCCGGCAGCGAGATTGGTCAGACCGTATGCTTTGAAGTTCATCAGGACCATCTCTACGCAGTGTCTACACTCGTGGACTTTGAAGCGGAGGAAGTCGATTGGACTTCGTACTACGTGTGGCTTTGCATTCCCCCCAAATCTAACGCTGCCAAACGATTCATCACACCCAACCGTACTTGGCGTCGTCAGCATCGTGAAGGCCCGATCAATGACACCTGGTCAGATCTCACGCTGCGTCAGGATGAGGCAACCAAGCGACTGATGATTCTCGAATGCCGCCGGGAATGGCGCGATGGTCGGAGTGAAAATGCACGCACATATTACATGCAGCCTTTGCCGTCCCCAGCCGAAGCCACTCAGGTTAAACAGCAAGGCTTGGATTCCACACCCAACGCAACGCCCGTCACCCTCCCTGACGAACCTCTCACCAGAACCCTCGACTCCACCAGCAAACCCAATTACGAACCCCCGCGTAAGCGTCTACGCCGACATTTCCACCAGGAATACGCACACGGTGCGGAACCGGCCCAACGACATGACTACATTCTTGCCAAAACCAAGTTCCGCAGCTACAACCTCTCCGCTTCGACGTTTGTCGATCTGGTCAATGACCCCTCCCCGGACACGCCCGGCAGCTTCATCCCGCATGACCGACTCCGTGTGCGCACGGTATCACGCAAACGCAAATGTCCCATTGACGAGAACGGGGACGAAGGCGAACCCGGCCTGCTCTTCCGTCCCGAACTCAGCGATGCAGATGGCCAGCCGATTGAGCACAGCGAAGAACGCTACGCCTCACGCGGGGTCCGTCTGTGGCCTCCCGACAACGCCCCGCGGGAATTAACTCAGCTGCTCTGCCCATCGAAGCGCTGTGGCCCCGTTCAGGCAGCCGCCGACGAACGGTCCCTCGTGTACTCGGTTGATCAGGATGGCCTGGAAGGGACCGGACATCAGGCGATCGTGCTGATCAATTTCGACCCGTCGCTACGCCTGCCCGGCTTACAGAGCATGAATCTCACCCGTGGTGGAGCAGGTGCCCTACCAGCGGACGAGCGCGATGCCCCAGTGGCCATGGAGCGACCGGCCATCGGAGATATCGGACGCGAACGAGTAGGCGTGCACACCTGTATCGGCAGTCGAAAGGCGAACCAGCCGGTGCCATCTGTCCGTGAGGAACAGGCCCTGTATCTTTCTATTCGACGGGGGTATTGGCTTCGGTAAGGGTGTGATGAGTTTGAGTTGAGTTGCACTGCCCTGGCACCGGACGAGGCTGTGCAAGGGTGTTTTTTTATTACCGGTACGTGCCTAGTTAGCTAGCAAGCGGGTTTTACCTCTTGTCTGAGACAGGGGTGGAAACACACACGCACCACCACCATCACCAAACATAACCATAATATCCTAGAATAGATGATCTAAATGATAATGAATGAAAAAATTACTATAAACTCACTAGTGTCGTGTGCGTGCGCGTAAGTATGTCATGATTATTTTTATTCTTCTCTCACATTGTAGGGTGGTTGGGGTCGTGTGTACCGGGTGAGCTGATCGGATCGGATCGTCAGCTGTCAGCTTACTATCTTCTTACTTGACTGGTCTTATTCTGACCACTTGGCTGGAACTAGTAGAGTCGTGGCATGCAATTGATTCAATTCGTACCTTCGTCTGATCCCTTGGCTAGAAGGGAAAAAGAAAAATAAGAAGGTCCTGACAAAGATACCTGCAGGAAGGATCCGAGTTCGAACAGACAGACAATACAACCGAAAGGATTCAAGGCCCTTTGACCATCTTACACCTCGCACCGGTTAGTTATGAAGGACCGTTATCCATACCATTTAGAGTAAGGTAAGCACTTATCTATACCACTTCAGGTAAGCTGTACGTTGAACGAATGGGGATAAGGTATTAAGTAGTACCGGTGGGGAGTGGATATTAAACGGCTTGTCTCAGGATTCTTATGGGGTCAAATGGTGTGGATGGATCCAATATCTATTCGATCCTAGTGCACCTCTACTACGTAGTACTATAGGAGTTCGTCATTTACCGACGGTAAAGATCTTGTTACAGATATAGTATTAGCTAGATGGGGTTCAGACTTGTGGATTTGTCAGGTAGCTTACTTTCCTGCGGAATTCTGTCCGTTGCATATTTGTTCAACAATGGAGTATTCGGCTTGTTCACTCGTATGTCTGACTGACTCGTATGCGTCAGGTGATTGGGGCTCCTCTCTACTTTCTGCTGCCTTCTTGGCCATTGGGGCCCGTTGTGATCACTATCGTTCTTAGAGCGACTTCTCATAATTCAGTCTTGGGGACTGGCTCGCTGATACACTTGAATGATGTCTTCATTGCATGAAAGAGTATTAACGAGAATGTGTCTTGTTGCAGTCTGCTAGCATTCTTTACCTTTTCCTTTTCCTTTGACTCCATACCTCCTAATTCCTAGCGGTTATCATTAGGGAAGACTGTAAGTCAATCACTCCCCAACCAACCCCCGAAGCTGGGGAAACCGCTGCTCCAACTCATTTGACCGTGCTTTCCATTTAGGATATTCTTTGGCACCAACGCGACTAACGCGCCACCACCCCGCAATTCCAGATCCCACAAAAGAACCACAGGACCCCAAGAACGCAATTGGAAACACGGCAGGGAACGCTCCCGTCAAGAGAGCAGATCCAGCACCGCCAACCCATGATGCCGCGGCAGCGGTCCAGCTTGACAGGAATATTCTCTTGTGCGATTCATCAATGGCAAACTCGAGGGTCTGTAGACGAGACGCGCACACGAAAAGCAGCAGTCGTCGCAGGATGTCCTTTTCATCAGGGTCTGGCAGGATCATACAAGCAAGTCGGATGGTGAAGTCAGAACAGTTCCACCAGATCGGGTCGTATCTTCCCCATACTGCTTGCAGGGGCTTATAGACTAATCGCTCCGGTCTGATCAGCTCTGGTAGGTGGCCTGAAGGTCAGAGGGGCGGGGTGTTGACTTACACGACTCCATTATTGCTTCATTGTCGTAAGTGACCAACCCGATTTCAACGATCCCATCTATGCTCCGGACCTTTTCCTCTCCCCAGCAGACACCACCACCTTCCTCGCCAGTTATGTTGGGACCGACGAGCTCGAAAAATGATCCATGTTGGAATTTCTGCAGCAGGTCCGTTGTTCCATCCATCCAAACCGCCTCTGGCACCAAGCAAACGGCAAAATGACGCATAAATCCGGGTGGTTCTGGAAGTGACCCAGTCTGGTTTCTGTTCCGGTAATTCCTGGGAAAGTCGCTTTCAATCCCTATGGCATCCTTGATTGCCTTGTAGGACCTGCCCGAATTTACTGTCACAACGAGGACGACACGTTTGCACCAAGCATCTGTGAGGATGAGGAACCATATCATCAAACTGAAGTTAGAGGGAGGAACATACTTCGCGCCTGTTCATCATGATCGTGGCTAGTATGTTGCTCGCAGGTAAACCATTGCTTGATAACCCTGAATGCAGCCACCATAAAGCCAAAGAGTTCCAAGGTGGCTTCCTGGACCTCTTTCATGACAGCCACCACCAGTGGACGGACTTTTGCAGCAAATTCAACCGTCCGTGCTCTTATAGCTTCCCATTTATCTCTGAGAAGCGTCAGAAAATGTCTCCAAGCGTCTGAGCGCTGAGAGACAAAGTGCCAGCACAAGTTACTGGCCTTCCCTTTCAGCCATTGAAATGCCTGTACCGGAACATTTCTGATCAATATCCATCCAACGATGATGGATAGGACAGCAGTAGACAAGAAGTTGAGGATGACCTTGACTCCGTCAAGCTTCACTGCGCCTGCCAAGAAGATCAGAAGGAGGATTTCAGGACGCGTATATATCCTGGTCATTTTCACTTTCTGGGTTGAGCAACGACGGGTTCAGGAGGCAGGTATATCGAGTGCAACTGTCCGAGAAATATCAAGCGTGGGATGGGAAAGAAGAGGAGGAAATAGCATGCCTGTGACATGACCAGGCTATATTCAAGTGCTCACTGCAGTGATCTAATTGATTGGCATTGTTCAATTGGCGTGTCTTGACCACCCAGAGCCTCATCGCTTTCCTCTGAGAGTCACAGCCTTCGCCACCATCGGATCTTTCTCTCCGATGCCCGGTCGAGGGTTTTGAGTTGAGGTTATGTCGTTGTTGGTCATTGAGCCCCGGCGCCTACGAGCGTTTACCCAGCGACGCATCCTATCCAATCAATCCAACATATGAGATGTAGCAGACTAGTTTTATTGGCCATGAAAGCCCCGTTGGATTGTGTCTCTACATACCGATAAAAATTTTGACAAGATGATTCAGTTGGTTCGATTGATCGATTGCTTGGTCGGTTGTTGATAGTCGTCGCTCAACCGGGCCTCAAATACGCCGATGTCTATTTTCCGGCAACCTTCCATACTTACAAATGTATTGTTGGTTTTTGATGCGCCTCACTTGTTATTGAACCATATTAATTCAATACCTCAGGTGCCGTGTTGCCGAATATCAGCTGGCTGTATACTAACTCCTGCCCCCCGCAAAACATGGAAACAATATGCTAACATAGGAGTCTCCGTACGACAACCAAAGTAATTGTTAGATTAATTACACAAAAGACGCTTTCGTACCGAATTACACTGATTATCTGATACTGGATACAGTAATAATTACATCGGCACTTGTGATTTTCTTCCAGTTATCTCGACATTGAGCATAGAATAACATACACAGCTGCGGCTGGCCGAAACAGGCAAGTTGGTTTATATTATTGTATGTATTTAACCTTTTTCTAACTTTAATTTTTTGGTTCATCATCCATTATTTCTTCCGCCTTCTTTCTACCATTCTTGGTTAAATTCATTTCAAAAGCTATTTCCGTGAGTCAATGACTGCTGGTGCTTTCTTCCTAGACTGGAGAAAACGAATCCTTGCTGTCCACACAGACACTCATATTATTTCTCTCTCTTTTTTCTTCTCTCTCTCTCTCGTTTTTCATTTCTCTTTTCATTATTGACTTTTCTTCCCCTTTATTTAGCAATATTATTTTTCACTTAAACCGCGATGGCTTAGGTGCTCTGACTCAGTCAGCACTTTCATCTTCTTCGATAATCGAATCGATGATTGAAAAAAAGGTAAGAGATGAGCAAGGGGAAAAAATTTTACTCTTCTCATGATGACATCTATGCAGCCTATCCTACACTTATTGCAGCTAAGTTGAAGCGGACAGTAGTAGATGGAAAAAAAATATACTGCTAAAGAAGCAAATATGTTATGATGGAATAGACCAGACAAAGTCGATATTACTCATAATCTCCCTTTCTTATCAACACCCCATTGAGAATTGATCACCGTCTTGATACACCAGCCTCCAACTAAAGCTTGCTTAAAACATAACGAGATCACCCTTTCCATTTAATCAACATACATCGCCGTATAAACCTAGTAGACAGACCTTCCCAGAGGAAAAACAAATCACAGCACGACATCATGCCGATAGAAGTAAATTAAAATGTGTGTGATTTTTAAAATGAAAGAAGCCCAGAACACAATAAAAACCAAGTCTCTTGTTTCCAGGACACGATGCACAATGCACCATGGTTTTCCATTCCCACACCCACCCACACACACAACCCCCTCTCTATTTCAGGGTTCCATATCCTGCAATCACCCAAGAAATTGTCCGAAAGATAGGCCAGGATGGTAGTTTCCCATCAGAGTATAAGATCTTAGACGCATAGGCGAAGTCGGGCACGATAGGGTCGAGGTCGTCAATTACCGTAAAACCTCGACGTTCAGCAAAAAGGGGACGGCCAGCTCTCTCTGGTAGAGAGAGGGCGACCGCACCGGAGAAGAAGAAGTTTGTCGTTCTCTGGCCGCCACCGGTGTTGCGATCCGCCAGGTTGATCCTCGTCGAGTTCCATGTCATCGTCGACGCGGCTCGGTGTGGTAGGGCGACGAGATGGAGTGACATTTGCATCGTCGAACTCGCTAGCGGTGTCATCTGCATCGTTTTCGTTGGCAGTGTCGGTGCGAGAAGGTGGAGCGACATTCGTGTTGTGTCTCGTTAGTGGTGTCGTTCGCATAGTCGGTTTCATTCGCCGTGTCGTTGGCGTATCAAGAGCCTTGACAGGAAGTCGATGCTTCTTAGTTAAGAAAATAGCATGTGAAAGAGGGATATTTTCAAGATGAGAGTGAGGAGCTGCACGGCTTTGATTACATCTGCTGCAGCCCAGGTATATACCACTCTCTTGTTAGATGCTCCCAATGGTATAGCTAAGATCACCGTCCAACCCTGCCGTGGTAAAGTCTTCAAAGGTCTTGGTCAACTTGAAATTATTCCCAAGTGGAACAGTTAGCTTGGAATTCCATCTGCTCTCTGACTCCTGACTATGCTAGGAGGTTTGTGGTCTAGCCAGTAAGTTTGTTGCGTGTTTTGTCTTAGCTAACTTGGGCGCTTGTGAAGGTAGGTTCGCCCCAGGCTGTGAGATGTTGTATCAGTAGCTGGTTATTTTTGGGGAGCAGGCCGCCACAGTGTCTTCGCTTCTCTCCTTCTTCGTTAAATCATCTGTTTTCCCTCTTAATGGAAAGATTGCAGAGATCAATCGAGGAACTATATGCTGCTTGGTTTTGTCTGTCCGTTTCCGGTGAGGGTGGCGCCCGTCCCGGGAGCCAGAAACAGGTATTGTAGTATCGTTGGTAATATGGTGTGTGGCATGATCATTGGCTTTTGGGGAATATGACTCTGCGATTGGAAATGAGAAGAGCGTTGGTATCAGATTCATATTGCCTAGGATTATTATGATGCGTTAGTTACAGTTATGAGGAGATTGATGACAGACAGGAATACTACTAACCTTCTCCAGAATGGTGGGAGCCAAAGGAGTCTCTTCTAGACTAGGGAAACCGAAACCGAAAGTTTCCACGTGGGTAGATGCCCATTGTATAGTATATATGACATGGTGTCCATGTTCTGTGAAACGTACAGAGCAAATCTTCTGGGATGTATATAGACAGCGCTTGATTCAGATTGCTGTCCCTCGAAGACCTTTTCAGCGCTCTTCCAGGTGTATCCGGCCAAGGAAGGTTTGGCCCAGTGAAACGCGATTACTTCTTCTGGGATGGACAGTCCATGCCACTTCTTCCTGATTGTACATACAATCCTGTGCCAGCCGTTTTTGTCGCCAATGTGCCGGACTAGGGATATTTGCCTTGGTAAGTACGCACCACGGTGGGAAGAATTTCGCAAGGACGAATCCTTCTTCTTCTCTTCTTCGGCGCTTTGGCAGATTTCAGGGGCCTAAGTTCTCATAAAAGCAGAAGCATAGATCTGTCAATTCCATCACTGTCACATAAGCAAATTATCATATCTCAGTTGTTCTGGAGACTGGGCTTTTGTCTTCCTTGTGTCCGGAAAAGACCGGGCAAATTGTCGAAAGCCATGTCAGATGGCGGGCTTGTGACTTCTATAATAGTTTTGCGGTGCCACTTTTCGGGCATTCATAACAGACGTACGAAATAGATAGTTGTCCGGTATGAAGTTGACGTTGTCTTCAACTGAAGAAGGCGAGGCCGCACCCATCATTGCTGCTGGAGAAGAGTAATCCAGACAGCGTTTATAGTGGATGTGACTTTTCCACCATTATATAGGTTTCCGCGATGTTTGTGTCTCTGGATAATATATAAAGTTGACGGTCGTCAGAAGTACTAGCGGCCTGGTCGAAGCAAACCCCAATCGGCTGCCGTAGTTGGCACCCATCTTTGGTAACGTTCTTGTGTTGACGATGCAATTATAGAACCTGGTTTGTTAAGGATATTGCATGTCTTCTTTTGGTGCTCTTTTGTTTTTTGTCAACATCTGTGTCCCTCTAGGCTACTTCAGGAAACGTGCTAGTTCCGACTGGTGCAATATGCAGCGGGCGGAGCCAGACCCCAAAGGACCACGATCGGCTGCCGTAGATGGTACCCTTCTGTTTGTGTATGTATATGGTGGTACAGACGGTGGCAGGCCTGGATCGATTAAGAGTGCTGCATCTCTTTCTGTTGAGGAGACTTTTAAGGTCTCTCAACATCACCGTGTCTCTCTAGGCTGAAGCCAGCGACGTAAGTATACTCGACGGGTGGTAGATGTTCTCGCAGGCTGAGCCAGAGATTGAACCGCGATCTGATACCGCAGATAGCACCTCTCTATCCTTCCGTGTCTTTGTTAAGTGATACAGACTGATATCGCAGGTCTGGGTCTATTAGTGTTACATCTCTTTGTTGAGACTTCCTTGTGCTTTCTCAACATCTGCGTTCCTCTAGACTGAAGCCAGGCATCTGTGTAAATTTGACGGGGAGAAGATGCACTAGCAGCTTGGGTCAAGCAGCCCCAATCGGCTATTCCAGATGCCATCCCTTTTACATCTGTATATTTTATGATGGTATAGCGTTGTTCCAGTTTTCTGGAGAGTGCAGCACCTCTTTCGTTATGAGCTCTGTTGTGAAGCCAGAGATAGGCTATATAATTCTGACAGGTGTCAGAAGCAGCGAGCTAAATCCGACAGACCGGCCGACCACAATCGGCTGCCTTAGATGGCACCCTTTGCCATCCGCATCATTCTATGATGATACAACGATGGATCTGGCCATCCCGAAAGTATCGTGTGTCCCTTTGTTGAGAGTTCTTTCGTGCTGGAAATCTGGGTAGTGTTAGTTTCGATGCTATCTCATAAGCTATTATGATAGAATGGAGTGTGAAAGAGTAATAGAAGGGATATAGACATACCATAAACGACCCAGCCCATCGCTGTTTAACTTCCTCGCTGCCGGGTTTGCAGGCCTTCTTTTGAGCCTATATACCTAGTATGAAGCAGGATATGCTATTGCCTGCAACCAGCAAGGATCTGTAATACAGCATGAATATGTTTTGAACATGGTGCTAGGTAGATCAAAACGATATATGGATGGCCATTCAGCAGATGGGCTGACTCGAATGCTTCAACAGCAAAAATCAGAAGATATATTTCATAAGCATAGTGCTATATGATAGTTGATAGCATGATATAATGTAGTAATGATAGTAGTATTACTAGTAGCTGCCTGGAAATGGGGAGAAGAGAAGGAGAGAAGAGGGTTGGCACCAGGTTTATATATTACTTCTCACGTGAGCCATCATTCATTGTCTCTACGTGAATATAGCATCATATTGATACCCTATCTTAAGCGAAGTGCACAACTCGCAGTAATTCAAGCAAAGTGATATAGAATATTTAATGTCCTAAAGGGAAGTGACGGGTTCACTGTCCAATATTCCAGATGCACCCGTGAATTTGGCTGCCACTATATTGCCGGATTCACGCGTCTCCAAGACGGTGTGATTCGCCACGCATGCTGGTGAATTCAGGAAGCAATGGCAAGCGAAGCTATACAAACCCTAACGCACTGCAACATTATAATGATAATATATGTAATTCTTGAAATTTGTTGTGAAAAAATACATTACTTGCATTTGCCAACGAAGAGTTGTAGCATCCACATTGAATGTGTCTTCCAAGCGTCCAAAACGGGACCAAAAGACCACTCCGGATGTAGTCAAGCAAAAATGAAACCTCATTGCCAGGAAATAGGCAGTTCCCTTAAATACCATTTACGACTATTATCAGATTGTAATGGGAAGGGCAAAAAAGAAAAAGATAAGGTCGTGCCCGGGATCGAACCGGGATTGCTGGAATCAGAATCCAGAGTGATAACCATTACACTACACAACCGAAGTTGATGTCTGGGCATCTACTTTAGGTAATATATTCATTTGCAATCTCAAGCTAGCTGTCTCTTTGGCATTGTCTACAGCGACATGTTCCAACAGCAGAATGTAGGTCAGACTCTCTCTTGGATTCCTCTCCCCCACCATGATCCAATTGGTCCATATTCTCGCTCTCCCTGATCCTCCTCAACTCTTCAAAAATTCCATGATATGTAAAATTGAACTTTCGGAACCGATAGATCTCCTTCGCCGAGTGCCTCGCAGTAGCTTGCGATGTATTCAACTGAATCTGCGACGCCCGGGGCCTGCGTACACGATCGAAGTCCTCCAGGATAGTAGGAACATTCTCCCTTGTTACATGGTCTCCAATAAAAAGTCGAAATCCCTCTGCATCTTCAATGGCCTGGCATCCTCCCTGCCCCTGATGAGGCGTCATGGCGTGCGCAGCATCGCCGATCAGGACCGTTCGTCCTCGAATGTATGTGGGCAAGGGGTCCTGCATGCGAAGTTGCCAGAGCTTAATATTTTCTGCTGCGCTGTAGCCATTACCTACATGTTAGCGCACAACGTATCGCATATTAAGGGGAAAAGAGGGCAATACCGGAAATACTTTAGTACCCAGTCCGGAAAGTCCGTAAACAACGAGATCATCTCGTCTCTGTCACCTGGCGCAGACCACGAGTCGGATGACGCTGGGGTCTTGAGCATATTGTCTGGTGCGAGCACAGCGAAGTTGAGGATCTCGTAGTTCCGACACGGGTACATGATCACTCGTCGCTCCGTAGGGTCCAGGGCGTATACACCCAACAAAGTGCCTGGTCTGCTTGAGTCCATTATCTCAGGTACTTCTCCATTGTGCAACTCGATGACCTTCTCCCGGGACATGGTGAACCGAAAAGCAGAAGAGCCCGATGGCTGAGCGGTGATGTATGCGTCGTCATTGACGACGGGGCCGCGCATGATGGATCGGATGCCGTCCGCGGCTGTTCATTGTTAGTATTGCAACAAAGATATTGTTCAACACCAATTAGACCAGGGTAAAAAAGAAGCATAGAACGAACCAATAACGAGATCTGCCTCCACCACCTCCCCATCCTCCAATATCAATTTCCCCTCATCAACATCCCCATCTACAACCCTCGCCCCAAATCGCACTGTCGCCGGTTCACCACTCAACCCCAACTCTTCCGACGGCGCCGTAGCTAACCGCAAAAGCTCATCTCGCAGATCCACCCGATGATGAAATAACCAGTCTGTCCCGAACTCCTGGACGTAATCGTGGATGGATTCCCGCGTGAGCTCGCCTTGCTTGTTGTACGACAGAACCCGAGTTACTGGGATGGAGCACGCGCGGCGACGATCAAAGTCTACACTGTTGAGGATGTGCACGGCATTGGGACCGAGGTTGATGGCGGCCCCGGCCTCGGCTTTGGCGGTTTCGCGTTCGTAGATGGTCACGGTATGTTGCTCGCGGAGGATGCGGGCGGCGAGACAGCCGGCGAGGCCGCTACCGATTATGGCGACATTCAGGCTGTGTGGTGTCATTATTGGGTGGTTTGTTGGAGTGAGGGATGATTTAGGAGGGAGGGAGGGAGGGAGGGATGAGGGGATAGTTGAAGACAGGGATGGGGGGGTGAGGTCATGGGACGGTTCGGTTGGTGATGCATGCCCTTGCGGCTGTGTCTTGCATCTGAATGATCAGGGGGGTAGGGGAAAGATGCAAGGGTCTGTGAGGAACTTTCTTAGATAATGAATAGTGATTCGTTGGATGCAAGTAATAGTTTGGGTATACTTCAATGAGAAAGTCAGCTAATTGGTAATAGTTCCACCCTCATTACCCCAAATCCAGCTCAGGTATACATTAACAGTAAAAGTACCAACAGGATATACTATAGATAACGCCAGCGCCATCGCCCAAATCAAACACTGAAATCCAGATCATATCTCGTAAGCTCCCCTTTTCATCAAAGCCTTCAAGACACCGACCGCTTCATTCCTCTTCTCCTCTTGCCCCAGCATCTCCAATGCCCTTCGCCCCAACGATGCCCCATCACTGCCACTATCCGCTTTATCCTCACCAACTGTAAACGTCTCCCCGCTATCAGTAGTCATGTTTAGCCCCGCAAAGACATTGGTCCCATTGGGATGCAAGATGCCGCTTAGGGTGTTGCTGATCAGCGACCCTAGCGGCACTTTAGCCGTCATGGTCAGATTCTTCATGACCTCCGTGTAGTACGGGACCTGAACGCCATCGTACTCGACGTTCGCACCGACGGTCGTCAGACTCAAGTAGCCTTCTTTGATGGAGTCGCTTTGTTCACTTAGTATAGGGCCGATGTTTTCGATGAGTTTGCCGAGATCCAATATCCCTCGTACAGGTGTGGAGTGGTTGCCTGGTCTAAGTACGAGGTTGTTGAGAGTGCAATTTCCGAGGGTGAGGTTGCCGCTGAGGAGATTCAATGTGGTGTTGCCCTAGTTTCGGTTAGGGTTGGCTGTAGTGCAAATATATAGATGGGAAAAAGAAAGAAGACTCACGATTTCAAGGGTCATCACGGAAGGGTTGGGAAGTGTGGCGTTGGCGATCAGATTGGTACCGTCGGATTCAGCAGGGAGAAGAAGCTTTGGATCGGATATGGAAAAGCCGGCAAAGGAGTTCAAGGCTGTCATATTGAAAAATGGAATTAGCAGTTGATAGGTGTATTGTCAGGAGTAGGAGGCGCACTGTTTTGCTTAATGTCCTTGTTCAAAGTAATCTTGGACTTCAGCTTCCCGATGTAAGCAGTGACGGGAGCCTTGACGGACAATGGAGCATGAGGCTCGAAGACCACACTGCGAACATATTGCGTCCATTGGTAGACATCCAAGGGAGTGAATTGGTCATCCACGGTGAGGGTTGTGTTCCCACTGATTGTAGCGCCGTCCATGTACAGCTTTGCCCAGGTGTTGTTCTCCGGGAGAAAGCGATTGAAGAGAGAGAGCGTTAAGTTGTTCATGCGCACAGGGAAGCTGATGGGCAAGTCCAGGGCAGAATTGATGCTGAGCTGGATGGAGTTGGGGCGTGGTTGGAGCACGTCGGCGTGAACGAGGACAAGAGTACCATTGTCCAGGACTCGCTGGGCAATGGCGGGAATAATCAAGCAAAAGCTGATAAATCGTCAGTTGTCGCCCAAAATAGGATGAAGACGAATTAGAAAGAGGGGAAGCATACAAAATGGGCAGAAAAATCGCCAGGAAGATAATGCCCCAAAATGCATAGCAGCACCAGAACCGAGCCCAATGGCGACGCAGAGTCTGCGATCGCGTACGCTTCACCGGCTCCAAGGAGATGGAATGGGCCGTCTCAACATGTTCAATCTCCAGGCCTTCAGTGGGCAGAGGACCACGATGGATACCCAGGGCATATTTGGCCTCTTTGGAGGTGAGATAGGTTTTCTTCTCGTCCATGGTGATGTGGCCCTTGCTGCTGGGACGGTCGCCGGCGAAGAGGGGCGGGAACCGGGGTGCTTGATCTGATATACTAACGGCTGATAGTATGGAGTCATTGGCAAATCCACCGACTAGTTAAAAAACTTCGCTATCGTCGTGATTCTCGTATACACCTGCCGCCCTCGGAATGCAACCCTCAAGCCCCTGCCATCTCTCTCCGCAAGGATCGTCCCGGAACCCGTCGATCAGTGTAAGTGGGAAATTGCAGGCCCAATGATGACCCATGGATTGGGTTCACATGCGGCCTGGTCAGGGCGACGATCCGCCCGACTATTGAGAACCGCGGTTGAACGTTGTTTTTGGAGCCCGGTTTTGGTGGCCGCTTTTAGGGCATCGCTCGAATTTGGGTTGAAACGGGGGAATGATCCACTGCCTTCTGGGGACGTCGGACTCTTTGCCCGATGGGGATGCGGGGATGCTTATCCGCAGTCCTTTGCAAAGTAAATCCTTGGTCAACTGATACCCTGCTGTGAGAGGTTTGTTGGTCTATCAATTCGCAGGATCGATGATTGATATGCTTTCTCGCTTGCAGGCCGCGGATGTGCCTGTGCCCGTATATTCTCGTACCCCCCTGCAATGCTGCTGCACCGGCATGTGCATCGAGCTGCTTTTTATCAGCGGAGGCCATTAACCACCAATTTGATTTAAACCTGTCAGACCAAAGTAGTAAACCACGCAGCTACTGACTACCACCTATCCCCCTAATCAAACAACCAACTCACGCAAAATGGACGAAAAAGCCGCCGCCGCAGCATCAGACCGCATCTCTCCGGTCTCCTCCCAAACCACCACCGTGACCACCAACCATCTCGAAGCCCTCGATAAGCTCGAAATCCTCCCTCAAATCCTCCAAGAAGGCATCCTCTTCGCCGGCTCCGGCGCCGCTCTCCTCCTCCAAGCGGCCTACCCCAACATCAAATCTGCCTTTGAGGAAGCCAACAAAACCAAGACCGAAACTATCACCCCAGCCAACACCAGTAACGACAGCAACCTCGCCAACGACCTTAGCAACACCCTTCAAACTGCCCTCAGCTACATCGCCTGTCTCGTCTTTGGCACCAAAGAGGAGAAGAAACTCCTCCTCGACCTCCTCCAAAAAGACAACGCCCCTCTCCCCACCAAACTCCCCTGCGACCCCTACATCCAGCTCTGGCTCACAGCCACCCTCTACGCAACCGCGACCGACTTCTACCAGCGCATCTACGGCCGCGTTGATTACCGCACTGCCGAGAAAGCCTACATTGAGTTTACTACGATTTTGTCCTGTCTCAACATCGCCAAGGACGTCTGGCCGCCCACTCGTCAGGCGTTCTGGACGTACTGGGATGACCAGATCGAGCGGTTGAATGTCAGCGGGGATGCGCATCTCTTCGCGAAGGATCTTCTGAATCGGACGGATTTCCCTCGCTGGGTTTCGACCGTGAAACCCTTGCTGAGGGTCATTACGATCGAGATGCTCCCGCCTCGCATTCGCGAAGCGTATGGGCTCAAGTCGTCGGCTAAGACGAGAGGCTTGTATCGCGGGACGATGGGGTTCTCGGTCGCGGTGTATCCGGCGCTGCCTGCGTCGATGAGAGGGTATCCGTTGAGGTATTATTTGGGGGAGTTGAAGGCGAAGTTGAATACTTAGCTAGCCTTTCTCTTTCTTTTATTTATTTAGTTTTCTAGGATAGTTAGGATTTTGCTATGGTTTGGTCGAGTGATATGGAGTAATAGGAGCAATTAAAGCAATAATATCGTTATCATCATTCTCATTCAGTTTACTATATCCTATATACTACTAGTTGCACATCATGTAGTCTTCATAATAGCCGTCAATAACGCCGATACATCAGTGACCAACTATACCACATTCATCAGCGTTACACTCTCTCACGTAGTACATTCTGAAGGAAGAATAGAAGCTTACCGGCAACGCATCCCCAATCAACTCACTCGTCTCATTAACAAACGACGTCGTCAACAGCAAATCTGCATTATCGATGATATTCTGCAACTTGTCGATATTGCTACTCGACAACAACTTTTGCAAGTTCTGCGGCGTATCGCCGCCCAGTAGCACTGCTGCCCCCTTGACGATCGTTTCCAGGTTGTCGACTGTGTCTTGACTGAGGAGTTCCTTAAGGTTGTCGATGAGGGACGGGAGGTCGGATAGTAGGCCTGTGGATTGGGGGCTTCGGGGGCCGACCGGGTTGGGGTTGGGATTAGCGAGGGTCAGGGAGATTGGGGCGAGGGTGGTGCTGAAGAGAAGGAGGTGTTTGAGATTCATTTTGATTTTTGGTGTTTGGTTTCGGATTCAATGGGTTAGATTTGCAATTGAATTGATTATGAATTGGTAGGGGGTATCAGGATAGTTACTGTTGTGTGCTTAATTATATGGACTGTCGCTTTATACTATTATAGGGGGGTTATTAGTAGTATTTCTGGGCTTGCTTATCGGGCCCCAGAATTGAGTGAGACTGACTAGTACTATGTAGTACTAGTAGTTAGAAGATGTTCGAGATCCCTTGCCTTGGAAGAGAGAGGGAGAGCGGGTTTGTTGGCCACCATGCCAAATGCTACCTCCGAGGATAATTGTGTTCCTAGTTAGGGAGAATCTGACCTACATGTGAACCGAGCAAGGAAAGGATAAGCTCTAGCGCTCTGATGTCTAGTAACTAGTGTATGCTACGCTACGCCACCGTTTAATATCAACATTCAACACCCCGCATCTTAGGGCTCACTAAACTGTCGATCACCCCCGGCGTGGCCCAATAGCGGCGTGGTGCCTCCCGCAGGAGCAGGAACCAGTTAATCTATTTTACTGTGGCGGAGGGAAAGCGGGAGAGGGGAAACAGGAACATGAGGTTGTTCCTCGGACCGAACGGTACATGTGATTTTGCTTGTTCCATTTTAGCAAACGCACGATGGATGTGTGGTATCTATCTTGCAGGATGAAGAGGAGGGGGATAAGATACTTTGATCCTGAGTGCTGGGTTGGGTACCGTGCGTCTAGATGCATGCATGCACCTCCTCTCGTCTCGTGTCGTGCCCGGAGATATGCCTGGATTGGGATAGTGTGGGATCTAGACTGGGATGCTCAGCGATTGTATTTGGGAAGATCTAATCTCATGTTTATCACCCAGTTCTTTGGTGGCAGCTAGCTTGTTGTTGGTGTGGTTGCGGTTCTGGCCGTTCTTGGCTTGTGCGCAAAGTGCCATGTTTCTTTTCCTTGCACCAATTTTGAAGTGCTGCTTCCTCGATTAGTGTGATGGTGATTGTCAATGGGAAATTAGCTATGTTTGGAGCTAGAGTGTTGTTGGAATAAGGATGTTTTAAGTACCTGGGTTGAGTGAAGGCTCTTTTTTGGGCCTCGTGGTGGGTTCTCATTATTGGGTTCGGGCGGCTCTTGCAATACTTAGCAACGGCGGTTCTAGAAGATGAACGCGATATGCAGTTTCAGGGTGATCGCTCTGGTGAGACTGGACTATTTTGGATCTGTTTTAGTCTGATCTTTGATGGGATTGATGGACGTGCATGGGGTGATTGATGTTATAAAGGGGAAATGCCCATATTTGGATGGCTTGAGGTAGTTGGTTTGGTGAAACAGCAATGGTGAGACGACTAAACAATTTTCTAGCAGTGATAATCCAGCCAAGGATAACGCTAAGAAAACTTTTACTCGCACCAAAATTTCCTTCTGGCGATTATGAGTCTTGCGGTGTTCTGCAGGCTGCAGCATCTCTGGAGAGCATCCGGTCGTGAATATTGCTTTCAACGAGAGCCGACACGACACAATAGGAATAAGGCCCTAATTACAGAAGCGATGAATTAACAGGCAGAGTTTTCAATAGGGGTGAATAGATAGGCAGGTGATCTGCCTACTCCGTCCGTTTCCTCATCGATCATGAGTGCAGCCAGCGCTGGTTAACTACGAGATATCATTCGAGCGTTCAAGTATGTGCCGTTAGAGTCACAACTAGAGCTCTGTAGCTCTCTAACAGGATAATTGGACGTGGATATCATGAAATTCCCAAGTTTTGCTTCCTCGTCGCTATACTGCAACAACAACAACAACAACATCAACATTGGATATGTGAGGGTCGTCCCAAGAATCATTATTCTCATCTAAGCTTTGTCGCAGGGTTTTAATTGTAACATATCAGAAGCTCCGAGTAACAGGGTCTTTAACGGTGTGCTAAAATTCTAGAAAAACCTCACTATAGCTAGAAGTAACCTCTACAGTGGCTAGAGGTATCGTCACCATCCCCGAGTTCATCTTGGTCACATATATCTTCAAATCAGAAGACAATGTCCCGCCTGTCTTGCCATTTGATATGCGCCATGATATGACATAGGGTAGATTTTCTGCCAGTGGGTATTTTAAGGTTGAACAACGTCGTACTATGTATGTGTTTCTGGAAGTTGTAATTGTCTTCATTTGCAGCGAGGTCACTTTGTGCTGTCTTATTCGTGGCGTCTATGTATACAGTGTAGTCCACTCCGAATCTGAAGTGGACAGAACACAAGAATGTAATTGTCCTGGCAACGAGGAACCCACTATAACACAATTTGACATACATACCTTTGCTAATCGATCAATAGTATCAAATTAAGTGCCAATGGATCTATAGTATCTATGCACGTGACCCCGTGACATTTGGGTCTGGCTTCCAGACGCCTTTTATTACTGACGCGTCAAACCTACTTCAATTTTGGTATTACTCGCAGGCGGCCAGCACATCCCTTAAATTGGCTAGGGTTTACGATGAAATCATGCTACGATATGTCAGATACACTCAAGCGCAAGGCCATTGACGATCCCCAGTGTCCTTCTGTACGGCCTCGCGGTAACTTCAGGCCGCAACCAACGATAAGATGGTCAATCGAGCCCAATTCGATTGATTCAATTCTACGCGATAACAGTCGAGACCGCCTCTATGTCTCTCCGGTAGTCTGGACTATGAGACATCTACGGCTCTTGGGTTGCGGGTTCAGTCTGAAGACCAGCAAAAGGAAGAATCGCCCACACTCGCAAGTTATGTTATCGGATTCGCCCGTTCACGATCTTCGAAAACCAAATCTGCCTGCAGACCTCCGTCGTGCAATGTTGCAGTTTGCAGGGCGAAGGACGTTGGAGGTCAAGAAAACGGCTATCAAAGAAATAGTTGGCGCCTATGGTTTCTCCCGTCTCAGGCAGTTGGCTTTGATGCCGGCCCTCGACCGACCTTGCTAACAGCCACCACAGCTATGAATCTTTGTCTTTCTACTTCCGCCAGCAGCCTGTCGCGAGTGTTTGGACAGAGGGCATATTCTTCCTCAACTCCACCGGCCCATCTCTCGCCTATGTCACATTCGATGGAATACAATCCCGTCGGAGCAAGTTCGTACACAACTCACCGGGAAAGGGATTCAATTGGGCCCGTGCTTAGGACATGTGATAAGAAGCTGCGATCTGTTCAGCTAGAAAATACTGTCGAAGATCCATATATAATGGGAATGTTAATCGCGCTTGCCCAAGAGCAGCGGCGGCACAGGCAGAGAAATGAGCAGCACGACCAAGAAGCTGCTGAGTGCTCAATCATGAAATGTGCCGATGAACACATAACCAACAGCACATCTTCTGGCACGCCACCTCGTTGCGGCACCGACCGAAGCCCCCATTACTGTGGTCAGTGTATCCGGGTATGTAGCACATCACACGAATACATCATCCCAGCTTGCTGAAGAATCTGAAGGTCGTCATCCTTGCCACTTCTGGAGTGAAAGACGATTGTCTATACGTCTACATCGCTTCTATCTCTGTCGCGTTTCTTGGGAAGTTTGACGAACCGTGGCGCTCTTCACCGAACTCACCGGTTGTGATAGAATACTATCCTATCCCTATCAGATCTCCTATAAAGTCGTTGAACAAGCTGCACCGAGTACTCTGTGCGGAGTCATGTCGCTTTTGTGCCGGCGATAGCCCACAAGCTCTTGACTGAGCCTATGGAATCTTATCTTGAAATAAGGGCCTCTACCATTTCCAACGCGAAGCATGAAAGACATTAGGCCGCCAAGGATACCTCACATGCTTAACGATATCTAAGAGCCCAAAAAGACCGAGCTTGATCGCGGTTACCCCGGTATACGATTCGGACTCTGGTGCTTATTCATGCTTGAACCCTTGAAGAACCCAGCAATCCCTCGGAGCCATATGGTCTCTTCAGGGACCCATGCATGGTACGCAAAAGAAAAGCTGTTGGGCCCGACGCCTGGAAGCCAGACTCGACTTCGTTTAGTCGTCACGAGTGACATCCGCCCTGCTTCTCTCCAGGTCCAATAGCATCACAATGGATAGAGCCGTGACGTCTGTTAATGGTTTACAAACTGCAAGAGGTTGAGAATTTGCACAATTTGACAGTAACATGACTCCCGTGATGGCCAGATTTCTGAGCCAAAAGTTTACTATCATACACTAGAGTGACCGAATTTCTCAAGGACCTAGCTCCTTGATAGAAGGCTTTGGATGGACAGCATCATTGCAAATTCCATATCTCTCTCACTGCGATTGCTTTTCGTCTACGTGATAACCAAGATGAATAACATATCACGGCGTCTAGTAAAATATGTGTAGGAATGAATTGAAATGCTTCCGAAGTTCTATAGAACCCAAAGTAATGGTAGATATGCAGTAGGAATAAACAACCTCGATATTATCAATATGTACAACGAACGGTCATCATCATGCAACGCTCTATGGCAAGAATAAAAAACGACTGGCAATTCCTACTTGTCAAGTAATACCATGGCACTCCGAAAACTCCAGGTAACCAGTGATGACATTGACGAGTCAGGAATAAGGATATTATATAGCTAAAGCATAATGCTAGTTCAGCTGGACGTAGTTTGCTGGGTACACGAGTTAGCAAGCTAGTTCTCAATAATGACACACGGTCATGCTTACCAGGAAATTGTCCCTCTCGTCCGTCAACACGGCCGCTCCACCACTCATTCTGGTTATCCGTTCGCTGTGTGATCTCGATGACATCACCTGCGGAGAAGCTCAGATCGCCGTGCGCCTGGGCCTCGTAGTCATATAGTGCCGTGACCGTTTCGACGGGGGCGCTGAATCGAGCGGGCTTAGGTTTCGGGGGCGGAGGGGCGGGCTTGCTCTTCGCCGCGGCGGTAAAGCTGCTGCCTGCAGTTGCAGAGTAAGGCGGCGGGGGGTTTTCGACAACATCGGGATCTCGCTGACGTGAGGCGTAACCACTCTTGCCCTCTTGCGCCAATTTGTCCTTGGGGGTAAGCTTCGAGCCGGGTTTGCGCCCGCCCGTGGCTTTGAAGTGGACGATGCTGAGCTCCTCAGCGCGCTCCTTGACGTCTCCGCGCTTGTTCTCGAACGCTTCCTCGATGTCCAGGTTCAGATCGAAGTAGCCGATATTGATGCCCTGCATTCGCTCGTGTAGTGTGTAGAAGACGTTCAGTTGCATGTAGTAGAAGGACTGGAACAGAGGACGGATGAATTCGGCCTCCAGAGCGAACAGCTTGGGCAGCTCGTCCTTGAGCAGGTCATTGTAGTAGTTGTAATCCTGCGTCGCTTGCTCCACATCATTTTCAGCCTTGTAAAGCGCCTTCTCATCCTTCAGCGACTTGTCCTTTTTATCCTGCAGCTTCTTGAGCGAGTTCTTGTGGCGGTCGTAGTCGAGTTTCTTGTGGTCTCGCTTCACCGCGACTTTGCGGATCACCTTGATCACCTCCAATAGCTGCTGTGCAGGGCTGATGACGCGGGTGTCGATCATCTCTAACTCGGGCACCAGCGATTCTTGGAGGTCCCGCACAATCGCCTCGTATTCCTCACAAGCCCGGATACCCTCCGGATTGCCCTCGATCGTATAGGAGCTAGGGTCGGAAGCACGACCGGAGATGGGTTTGTAGAGTTCCGTCATCGCTTTGGAGAAACCGATCTGGTGGTTCAACATGCCTAGAAAAAAAGGTCAGTCAGCAAAAAGGAGGGGTAGCTGCGAGACGGGGGGATCCGTGTGTACCATTGATGGCATCGAAGTACTTCTTAGACTCATCGTGCAGTTTCTTGGTCTCCTTTTCGAGTTCTTGAAACCGCCGCTCAGCGTCCAGGTAGACAGGGTCCTTGGTATGCTCGCCAATATTGAACTTGGCCTTGAACTGTTGTGGAGCGCGGACAATGCTCTTCTGAAAGCCCTTCAAACTCATCTCTGATTGGCCGCAGGTCGCCCAACGCCCGCGGAAGGGTTCGGTTTAGGAGAACAGGAGAGTGGTGGTGCTAGGAAGTGGTGTAAAGGGGTCGGGAGACGGTCGCAAAGGCGTAGGAGCGTCGAGAAAGTTGAATAACCAAAGCAGATCAGACCAGGAATCTCGTGGTAGGCCAGAAGTGGGGAGGAAGTGCCTTTTGTTCACGGCAAAGGGACTAGTGAGGACTAAAGAATACTGGCTGCCGGTGACGGTTAGACTGCCATGGTTCGTGGCTGAGCTATGACATAATGCTCTGCCTGCTCACCGTGGCTGAGTTTTAATGTGGCTCCCCCTTTCTTGTTCGTGTTTGGGTGTTGGTTCCAGTTGGGTTCCTGATCAAATGGTAAGGCTGCAGAAGGGAAAGGAAAAATATGGAGTAGCCTGGAGACTATAATAGTAAGTAAGCAAAAAATCTATAAGATCAGCCCCTCTCCAGGCTCCAGAACTTCTTCTTCTTCTTCTTCTCTCCAGACCCCTGAAGAACTTCGATCCCAGATGTGGCTCAGGGTCGGATCGTAGGGCCGATTATTCAGCCGGGGGGGCTCGGAGTGTCGGAAGCAGCAGCAGCAAAGATTCTCCATGGCTTTTGCGGTGTTTGTTAGGCACCAGAGTATCCGGTTGCACTAGTGGCCACTATCGTCAACACAGACCTCGACGCCCAAGAATTTTTCCCTCGTTTTCCGCCGGTTTCTGCCACATCAATGGTCCTGTGCCCCGTGATCGGTCGAGCGTTGGTTGTCACGATGCTTTCTTCTCAGCTCGTCAGCCGTCAGCCGTCAGCGGCCAACACATAAGGCTGGGTCATCCCAGTGGGAAATCCGGGGAAATTCACCGATGACGAGGTTGTCGGCCAGCAACATCGACGGGACTCAATGATTGTCTCACAATGAATGTGGAATGTGCGCTCCATAGCTGTGTGCCTGGATTCGGCCATCCCTTTTAGGATCTTTCGTCTGATCAATCAATCCAACATGCCTTCTTACATTGGCATGCGCATTGGGCGATGGGAGCCAAGCATAGGATTCCTGGAGCTTATAGACTCATCTTAGACCCGTCTTACGTTTACCTCACTACATAAGCCAACTCACTAATCAACTTCTCCGTAGTCGCAGTTGGTCTCCGCGGGAAGCTGGCGAACTCCCCTTATCAAGGGCCCAAGTAACACCGAGACCGAGCCCCAATGGGGAAATGGCCGGACTATCTGATAAATCCGATCGGGCCTAGCGGGCTCGGCAATGATATAACCGGATCCAAACTTTTTCCCACCGGGCGAACTCGTCGTCCCCCTGCTGTCATCTTCCTTTGGTCATCAACTGTTCATCCATCGTGTATGGTACAGTTGCAGATTTCATTCACATCATGTCTACTATGACCCCTACTGCCTTGAGACAGGCATCCCGGGCTTACGCCCGTCGGCTTTTGTCGACTCCGCATGGCTCTCTGACGGCATCCCTGCCCCGACGGGTGGTCGCCACCAGCGCTGCTATACCCAGACGCTCGTACGTCTCCGAAACCAAGGCTGGAAATGCCCAGGTTACGGTGGACACGGCCATCAAGCAGGACCAGAAGGCTTTTGTGAACCAGACTGGACTTAATGCGCAGAAGGTTAACCTTCCTGGTTCGGGCATCTCCGGCGATGCGTCCATGAGCCCTACCGCCGGCATTCTGAAGCAGGCGACTGTTATGGACCAAGGCACCCGCCCTGTCTACCTCGACATGCAGGCAACGACCCCGACGGATCCCCGTGTCCTTGACGCCATGCTTCCCTACCTTACCGGCATCTACGGAAACCCCCATTCCAGAACCCACGCCTACGGCTGGGAGTCCGAGAAAGCTGTCGAACAAGCCAGAGAACACGTCGCCAAGCTTATCGGCGCCGACCCCAAGGAAATCATCTTCACCAGCGGCGCTACTGAGAGTAACAACATGAGCATCAAGGGTGTCGCCAGATTCTTCGGTCGCTCTGGCAAGAAGAAGCACATCATCACCACCCAGACTGAGCACAAGTGTGTTTTGGACAGCTGCAGGCACTTGCAGGACGAGGGATTCGATGTGACATACCTGCCCGTGCAGAGCAATGGATTGATTCGGATGGAAGAGCTGGAGGCGGCCATTCGTCCCGACACTGCCCTTGTCAGTATCATGGCTGTCAACAATGAGATTGGTGTCATTCAGCCCATGG